CGTTATACCAGGCTCTTCCACCCACCCCTCCCTGAATAAACCCCTCTCTCCCCCCTCGTTGTTTCTATCGCTCGATGCCCTTTTTTCCGTATTCACAGGCTTACTGCCTCTTATAGGCTGGAAATAAGGCTAGCTAGATCTTAGTCGCAACTTGCTTCAACAAAATATTTTTTTCCTAACTCCATGGTCAGATTAGTTAAGCCAAGTTAGCTTTTGGGCGGGTTTTTGACAAACCAGACACTTGCAGCATTGTTTCAGCCTCTTCCCTTTCAAACAGACTGTCATGCTAAATTTACCCATCGTAATATTACATGGAATATTATTGGACGCTGTCATAATTAGCAGTGAGTTAAAAATTATTTACAAAGGTTATTCTTTGCTCTTTTGTGTCGAGGTAGGTGTTCAGATTAGACTTTTGATTCGATGAATAAGTGTAGAAATTCAGTTGACCAATTTAGAAACCGCAGCGGAAATTTTTTTTTTTAACATGAGACAGCGGTCAAGTGCTACTTGGCGCCAGCCTACGCTCTTTCGATTGAGGTCTCCGTTGTTACGTGTGTAATTCTGTTGAGGTTTTGGTTCAAGAGAAAAAACTGCGAGAGAAGCGAATTCCACTCATAGCCGAGCAGATCAGTTTTCAGAGAATCTTTGACTCGCGAGAAATAGATATGCAACGTCGATATAAGGGCTTCCTATCGACAATCACTGCACTTTCGATGGAGCTATGCTGAAAATTAGATTAGCGTTTATCGTATTTTTAAACGCGGTGAAAATTTCTCGCGGAGTGGAAAACTAGAAAATCTCATGATTACGCTATCTAATCCTGTTTATTTACAAATGAGGTTCAAAAGAGCGTTTGGTAAATTTTGATTCAATGGCATCCGCTTAATATGAGACTGTCAATAATGGTGAAGAATCGTTTTTTAAACAGTCTTCGATACTCACGTAAACTCAGTGCCTATCTGAAATATAACTCGACACGCGCGCAGTATCACGGTCATACTTGACTGACCCCTCCCCCCACTTTAGAATTACGTTCAGTTCTGAAAAAAAAAAAAGAGAAAAAATAAAAGAAATCCGATACACGTACATGTGCACAGAAAGTAGTAGTCTCCCTTGCAGCCCTTTACGGTTGTGTGACGACGCCGGAAAGGGCAAAAAATTGGCTTCACTTTCAATGACTCATCATCGTGTCACAAGATAATACATAAAACAATATTAATGGGTATAAGACAAATTGAAACCGCAAATGAATAACTCATAATAGTAATTTTGAGTATGGAGAAAATTCAAAAGAAATAGGCCCAGTCGAAAAAAAAAAATACTAGATAATTAAGTAACAAAATTCGAGGTAAAAAAATTAAGAATGAGATAAGTTTAGTGGCGTGAAAAATCTGAAACCATGGCGCTACGATGGTAGGGAAAAAATAGCTTCCTTTAGATTAGACGACGCGAAAATAAATTGAAATAGGAAATTTTAAGATCATTATTCCATTATTACTTGGAGGCAGAACTATTTCCTGCTTATTACTTCAGATAAAAAAAATGTCGAATATATTTATTTATGTATATAATTTTTTTCGGTTAATCATTTTACTTTGCTCTGAAAGTTTTAAATACTTATCAAGTTGGGATTTTTCCGAAGATAGTTCCATTTCAGATTAGAGCAAACAATAGTTTTGTTCCCGCAGTCTACTTCGCTGTGCGCCTTTAGCCTTTTATAGCCAACTGGTCTGTAAAATTTCAGTATTGATCTACCGCACTATCTATCGGCCCACTAAAAAAATATCTTCTTTATTTGTGGTTGTTCCGTGGTTCACGTTTAAAAGGACGTTAGGTCAAACAATGACAGTGTAAATAAAGCTGCGAAGCTGAAAAAACGGTTAAAATATCTCTTCAAAATACGTTTATTTGGTCTTCAGAGTTTCCAGGCAAGCTGGACAGGTGAAGCAGAAAAACACTTTCTGAACAACACTAATTAATAATGTGTTCAGTCGGAGTTTGTTGTTTTTATTAAAATCAGGATTTATATATTACAAAACTCAGGATGCGTAGAGTCACAAAAGTTAGGCAGCGTGTCCATCAAGTATCAATACTTCAATTTCAAACTTCGACGTAGGAATCGACGTTTTCTAAACATACACATCAAATTTTAAACTCTTCGAACAGTCTTTCAACAAAAAAACGAATTTTCTTTGTGTTCCCGTGAGAAACTTCGCCTCTGCAACAGCTGAGGCAAAGCAAAGATTTTCATCTATTAACTAGCCCCTTTTGTAACCCGGCCAATCGGGTGAAATGTTCGCTCTTGAGTTCACAAAAGGCCCACATGTTAGCGAAAAGTGATGAATATGAACATTCCCTGTAGGACGAGTTGATTCGGTAGCGGGTCGCGTGCACTCTTTGTTCGAGAGCCGCTATTTGTAAATACACTCCTTATATGGTGTGGGTTAATTTTCTCACGAGCCTTGAATTGCCACAAAAGTTCCCACGCTCATCTGCCGACATCATCGCTTACTTCCACTTCACATTGTTGTGGATGTATTGTTCGCCAGTGCAGTTCTTCCGCGAATCGGGGTTTTCCTTCGTGTGCGCGTAAACTTAAAAGATTTCATCGAACCGCTCTGAAGCAAGAGACATTGTCAATTTCGGTAGCCATTTTATTTCGTCGCTGACGGCAGTCTATCCGAGTGAATAACGTCGTCAACAGATAGTCTAAGCGCAAGAAAAACACGTTGCCAAGTTGGATCAATGGAGTGTTGAACTTCAATTTCGACAGTGCAGAGTTGGGAAGAAAAAGAATTCTCCTGCGACGATTCCCAAATTGTCACTCTGGGAGATAATCTTTCGGGACGATATCGTCCACCACTCGTCCGTCGAACGATCGGGCTTCACTGTTATGCCCCCCACAGCTTTCTTGATGCAAGATTTCCGGATAACTTCTCAATTTTAACTGTTTTTTTTTAAGAGATCATTTTCTTTTACGGGAAAAGACTATTTACGTCGGCGACTTTTACAAAAAATGTCAGAATCTCATGGACAAAGATCGATTTTTACAGCTGATGGAACCACTCGTGACGGTTCACTTTTCACGACTCATGCAGGATTGATACCTCGGGATATCGGACATCGATACACGAACGTAAAACGGCCTCGTATAGAGAGTGGAAACTTCAATTCTTCTGAGGTTTTCCCATCGAGTGGAATTGTCCAACCGGCAGTGTATCATTCGCCAATTACGTCCACGATCGCAGCAAGTTTACCAACACAGTCGGAGAGTACGTTTTCTAGTAAGTGATCGTTTTCTTTGGGGCTTAATTCATGGCTTAGGGCAAATGATTTAAATAATTTTTTTTCTCTTTAATGTTATGTCGATTGTCAAATGTTAACTAAGCTTTCTTCGTGTCCGTTTTAATTTTTTCAGTCGTGTTTCGATCGGTAAGTGGCAGGATATTCTTGGATCCATAATCTTGAGTATATTTCCTTAGTTGTCGACGTTTGTCTTTTTAACAAACGACATCTAGTCCGGGGACATTTATAAACGAGACTTTGTACACTATTTCGGAAATGAGGTCAATCATTCAAACATTTTTAAATTCCCTTTGGGCGAAGCAGGTATTTTTGTAGCTCCAATTTCAGCGAGGAATAGACCGTCTTTATTTTTTAAACAAGATACTGTTCCTGAAAGAGTTACGGTGAAATTGGATTGTTTGATTTAAACAGGTAACCAGCCTGTAAAATGACTAATTTCTTTTGTTTTCACTTCATGTAGGATTTAGAGATAATGAAACTTTTTTTATTAACAGACAGATATTTGATATCTAATTCATGACTTTAGTCTTAAACGAGGCGTTGATAGCCATATAGATCCAAGATATCGGGTGCCTCCTTATGTCGCAAAAGTTTGGTCAAATTTCAGCCTACCAGTCTCGCTCATGGCAGGGGTATTGATAGTCTCTTTGGAACTCTAGAAAGTCGTTTCGTTTACGATATTGGGCAGTTATATTTAACTATAACTTCAGCGTGAATATTTAAAAGAAGCTTCATAGTTTTTAAATTATTGAGGATCAACATTGTTTAAAAAATCGTTTCGTGGTTCATACAACAACGTTCAACAAAGGCTATATTTTAAATTTTTTCAACAACAATTTAACAGGGGATGTGAAAGGTAACTATGCCCTAAGTGAAGGGGGGTGGTAAGGGAAAAGAACACCCTACCTTACCAACCCCCAATCCTCAGCTGGCTTTTGCCTTTTAATACATTTTTATAGTTTACAGGACAAGAAACTTAATTATTTTTTAAAGCTATTGTTCAATCATGATAGCTGGAAAATAAAGTGTAAGGAAATCAGTTAATGTTTACAAAGTGGAAATTGAGACAGTTGTTATTTTGGAGTAAAATATGAAACTTGAAACTGAAATTTCAATCTGTCAATATATGCCATTATTGTTTCAATATGAAAAGATAAAACATTGCTAAGGGATATGCAAAGATATTACCTCTGAGATTTGGGGGTTTTTCATGGATGAAAAGACAAGAATATTGTCCCAGGTATAAAAGAAAGAGGCTGCCTAAGGGAAATTGATGCAGTGACAACAGTACAGGAAAAAAAATTATGGTCAGTAACCCATTGAACGACAGGTTAAGACTTACAGCTCATACAGTCAACTACTTACCCTTGAATCAAATGTTAAGGTCACAAGAAAGAAGGAAATGATCACAGAAATGGGAAGCTCTGGATTGTCAAACAAGATTAATTCTCCTTAATAGAACCATAGGTAATGTACAGTAGCAAGGATATTTACGCCAAATTTAGGGTATGAATTTTTAAGAATATCATTCTAATACAGCATGCAGGATAACTGTATCTAAAACAGTAGAGCAGTACTTAGTATGATATTATTGGATCAGTATTAGAGAGATACTAGGATTTCTGCTGTAAACAATTTTGACCAGCACTCCAAGATAATTAAGACTTCCATCCCTGCTTGAGGCCCAGTAATATCTTCCTTAACATTTTTTCAACATTCTAAACACCATGGGATTGGCAAACTTTGTAAATTACTTATTCATACATGTAGCTTCCAAACTAGGGTATTAGCATTTGCTGACTTTCCATAGAAGGGTAAAAAGAACTGATGAATACACTTTGTACACCTGAGAGAGACTGGCGTCTAGTGTCCCCTTACAATATCACGGTAGTTACTAAAATGTGGAACCACCCAAAACCGCCCAAAAACCACGCACAACCAGGTCTTTGCGTGCTTGTGTGACCTTTTTCATTGTGGGTGGTTTTGGGTGGTTCCATGTTTTCGTAACTACCACAATATCACCCTTAGATCAAACATCAAGGTATTGAGAATAAATAAAATGATCACCAATTAGAGCAGCTCTGGACAGTTAAACAAATTCTCCCTGTCAACATCTCAGGAAAGGTATAGAGAACAGTATAGAGAATGACAGTGTTTACCGATAATAGGGAGTAAAGGTAAAGTCTGTTTACGAGCCTAGTGGCCCATTTGGCCGGTGCTTAACTCCGGTTTCTGTAGCATGAAGCGACTAGGAGTATTTCTACTCTCCCCTGGATGGGATGCCAGTCCATCGCAGGGTTACCCCCAGCATTAAATTGCCAGTACCCATTTATACACCTGGGTGGAGAGAGGCACTGTGAGAGTAAAGTGTCTTCCCTAAGAACACAACACAATGTCCCGGCTGGGGCTCAAACCCAGACCACTTGATCCGGAGTCGAGCGCARTAACCATGAGGCCATCGCGTCTCTAATAGGGAGTAAAGGGTTGACTAAATTGTTCAATATTACAAACTTATTGACTGAGGGGAGAGGGCAAACTGGAATATAGTTGGCTTGAGGTCATGATGTACAGACTTCGTGCAGCAAGGTCTGTGCCTCGTGACAGAGACCCAAATACTTTCCCATCCCACCTGACCAAAATTCAGTCAGTAGGTATTTTATCATATAACTTAAATATTGAATTATCAGCCTGAAAAGGATGCAACACACAGTCACATGAGTATCAAAAAAATCTGCCATTAAAACTTTTCCTTTATTTTTTCAAGTCAGAACAAGAAACTCTCAAAACTCTTTTTTTTCTTTTTTCTCATCAGTGTTTTCCTTTATGTTTTTGCAACAAAGTGAGTTAAGGGCAGCACAGCTGGATTGCTTTTTCCAGAGATCAGCTTTCACCGTGGTTTTCTATGGGATTGAGCAAGCAGCGGCTATGATGATGATTCAACTTATCTAAACTACTGTATTTATTCATCCATAAGCTGAGCGATTTTTTCACAAAATTTTACCAAAATCTCGAAAATTTGAGCTAGAAAAGGGTTCTTGGCTCATAGCCAAGTATTTTCAATTGACATGTTTTGATAACCTTCCCGATTAAAACAGACCAAAGTTTAGGGTCTCGGCTTATAGACGAATAAATACGGTACATGATTTTGGGAGGTGTCGAGAGTTTACTAAATTATTCAATATTTCAACTTTTACCTTGGCATTTAGGAAGAGGTCCATACCAAAGAGTGGCTGATGGGTATTCATCAACACCCAAACACAGACATGAAGGAGTCCGAGTGGCTGCAGAACCCCGCAGTCTGGCCTTACAGTTAGCAGCAAGTCACCCCAGTCCTCCAACCACTCCCTCTCCTCCACCCGAAGAAGACAAAGAAAAAGAAGATTTTCACAAAGACTCGTAAGTCTGAACCTTAACTGTTTATTAGCACTTCAGCTTAAAGTTAGCAGTTCAATTAACAAGCCAGCCAGTGGCTAAGAAAATGATCTCTTTGGTTTCTGACAGAGTTCTCCAGAAGGGTTTGGTTTTTGTAAAAATGGTAAATTTTGCTATTTGTCTTTATTTTTTATCTCTTTTCTGCTTAATATTGATTGATATTGCAAGGGAAAATTCTGTCTTCATCACTTGTGACAGCTTAAAGGTTAAGTCATGATCACCTTGGTAGAAGTACTGTAGAATACATTCATGGCTAAGAAAATTAAGGTGAGAAGCGGGGGAGAGAAGGGAAGGGGTAGTTAGGATTATGGTGGGCTAATTTGTTTGTTTGTATTTTTTTTGGGGGGGGGTGTGTAATGTTTATATTGTTAGTTATGTTTTTTTTGTGTTAACTACACTGTTGTGCGGGAAGTCGAGGGTTCAAGCCCCGTCTGGACCAACACTCAAGGTCTTAAAATAATTGAGGAGAATATGCTACCTTTCTATAACACCAAGAAATGGTTAGATACTCTAGTCTTCTCAGATAGGGATGAATAAATGGAGGTACCATCTCCTACAGGGTTAGGGGTAGGAGACGTTAATTTCCCACGCACGAGATTACTGTGTGATGGATGTCCTCCCCTGGGGTGGGGATGGGTGGGATTTATTGGGTGGACTACTTGCATGGTTTGCATATGTTCCATTCTAGTCCTACCCTACTGCGGTAATGCAGTGAAAATGGTTAGAAAAAAAGTTTTTTAATATCTCAGGGTGTTCTTCTTGTTTAATCTTGTCATGGACTGTTTTTTTATTTGTAGTGCAGCAATTCAACCAAGACTTTCAAAAGCTGCTATGAACAATTATCTCAATGATGTAGTCCAAAGGGATGGTCAACAAACAGTTATCATTTTCCATGCCAAGGTGGCACAAAAGTCATATGGCAATGAAAAAAGGTACAGTTTATTGCTATCCTTTCTCAAAAATATAGCATCAACAACTTTGAAGCAAAACTCTTCCTTCCATGTACTGGAAACATAGTCTACGAAAGAATCTGACTGGAACATCGGCTGTATTGAAGGAAAGAGGTTACATAGTTTGATGTTGTGTAACCATTTGCTCACACTTCAATAGACTGACCAAGGCAGAAGGATTGAGCCAAAATATTTCCAAGAAATTCAATACATTCAGACCAGTGAGATTCTTCCACATGGTGTTTTTGTTGTTTCTTTATTTCTAAGCTTGACTTTCCTTGTACAAGTAGTTCTTAGGCTATCTTTTTAGGGGTACTAAGGAAAATTGAGTCAGTTGGGATTTCAAGCCCATTGCAGGAGTTTACTTTACTTGAAATTAGAGAAGCTGTGTAATGTCCACAAGGTGTTTGACACAGACTGAGTTGATGGAAGATCCTGTTGTAAATTGAAAACTCAGTAGAGCTTACTAAGTAATCATTAAAACTTTGATTTGTCTTAGAGCCATTCTTATGACAAATTTATTGACACCTTCCTTTGATCAGATTGGTGGGAGTCGCAGTGTGCTACTGCTTACTGGGCTGGACTCCAGGTTGAGTGGTCTGGGTTTGAGACCTGGTCAGGTCATTGTGTTATGTTCTCTGGCGAGACACTTTACTCTCACAGTGTTCCAAACCTCCACCGGCCCCCTCCCCCGCCCACTCAGGAGTATAAATGGATACTAGCAAAAGGGGAGCCTGGTGAAATGCAGGAATGCAGGGGGGGACCGGTATCCCATCCAGGGAGGGTAGTAATACTCCTAAGTCACATTATGTTATGGGTACTGCGACAAGCTCCAGCTCGGGGGGGGGTTACTTGTGTTAAGAACAGACTTTTGAATCACTTTGCATTCTGCATTATTGTTACATGTCCCTAAATCTCCCAGTCAACAACTGTATGGCACTGTCTGTTTTATGCAGGTTTTTCTGTCCTCCGCCTTGTGTCTATCTTGTGGGAGAAGGTTGGCAGTATCGTAAGGCACTTGTGCCTCAAGTACAAGAAGAAGAAGTGATGCATCAGCCAGTTGCATTCATTGGGATTGGAAGCAAAAATGAACAGGAAATGCAGCAGCTTATCATTGAAGACAAGGTAGATCTCATTTAATGTTGAAACCATGCAGACACGCTAATTCTCGGCAAGCATGAAGGGAGTCTCACAATAGTCCATTTTACAGTTGTGTGCTGTGTGCTTGGTTGCCAAGCCTTTGAATGGAAGTGAGGCTAGGAGTGACCTTGTTATGATACAAACTTTGCTGCCTTTCAAATGTAAATCACTTTGTTGTCATGCTAACTAGATACAGGTCTCTATCATGACAAGGTCACCTTCAGCCTCACTCCGAATCAAAGGCTTGGCAACTAAGTACACAACTGTAAAATGGCCTATTGTCTGTCTTTTTACCAAACTTCTTACAAGACCTGGGGTGTGGAAAATCATTTTAAAATGAAATAGA